GACAAACCATCCGCACTTGTAAAATGTTGGTGATGACAGGAAATTTGTCTAGACGAATAACTTTCTCGCTAGTGCATAAAAGCTCTTATTGCATTGTGTGTGGGTTTTTTTGGTAATTTGTGAACACTTTTGCTTTTTTCATCAAGCCCTGTGCTACTTAAAGGAATGAGAGGAAGGTTTTAGGCTGCAAAAACAACTTCTGAACTTGTTGTGCATATAGAAGGATGATGCTCAATGGAAAAATTAGGCGAAAATTCGCTCGGAAATGTTTCCAAATTTGCTATTAAAACTCTGGTTAATATTTGTGTTCTCACCCCAAGCAATATCGGTGTATCCTCCAAATACGAAATAACTTTTCCTTATTATAGTAACAGTGTGTGGCTTTCCATCACAACGGTTGTGAAAAGTACTTGTTGCCCAGCCATGAGAGGAGGCGCGGTAACATAGCGTCCAGTGTAAATGTGAGCCAGGAACAGGATCCAAAAATTTCAGAAGACTCAGGATCATATCATTGCTACCGATTATATTTGATGGTACTTTCAACCCTAGCGAATGTAAAAAAAAAAAGAAGATGTTCTAAGAAAAAGCTTGTTTCTAGTGAAAGCTTTACTTTTTATTTGTGTCATTCAAAACAAAATTATCCTCATTCAGAGAACGAAGTGAAAAATAATTAAAATTAAAAAATTAAAAAAAACATTAGGCTTTGACAGTGGTTGATCCCTGTTCTGTCTCACTTTGAAATAATCGTCGCACTTTGTAACAGCTGTCGCGCTTTGTAAGAAAATTGTCGCTCTTTGTAATACAAACGCTGTCGCACAGATTTAGTGCTAAATCATAATTATTATTATTATAATTTTTATTAATCTTATTTGTATAATTATTATTATCATTATTAGCAATGGTAATAAGACCGGGTGGAGTACGATTCGGTCTGTAATCATACGAGTGATAACAAAATCGGACGACCGCGCAGCGGGAGTCATATTTGTTTATCCTGAGTATAACTACCGATCGAATTGGACGACACGAAGTCTTATCACCAATTAATCTTAAAAATTACAATCTCCGAGAAAAGAAGAATAGCCTAGCTATGAAAGAAAGGAAAATTTTGCATTAAAAGACTGACAAGGGTTGATTTAAACTACAACCTTTTATATTATTGGTTGATTTAAACTTCAACTTTGAATGTGATTGGCGTATTGAACTGTCCGATAACAATTTGGCAAGTGAATTAGTTGAAAATAGGATTTTTTAAAACCAATCGCAATCGCGGAAATTGTAATTTTATGATTATTATCGTTATTGATGGGGACAATAGTCGTTAATGGGTCTACTCGCCCTGCAATCATCTATATATATTTTCATTTCATCGTACGAAGTCGAAATTTGTTAAACAATAAAAAATGTATATCTTAAACTCAACCAAGCAGAATGCATCCGGGTTGATTTCCAGTCCAAGTGCCATTCTTTAAGCAACGACGCTCTAAGGATCCCTCCAGCCAGTAAGAAGGCCTGCAACTAAATGAAACATGTTCTCCTTCCCAAAACTGCTGCCCGTGAATAAAACCACGTTCTGGACTTTCCAAAGATTGGCAAATTCTTCGACCTACAGAAAAACAAACAAACAACCGAGTATGAAACGGCAACAACATCAACAACAGTAAGGCATGTATCAGTTGTTAAATAGAGAACCAAAAAGACTCTAAAGTGTTCTTGTTTCTAACAAGTTAGAGCGACTTCAGAATATATCTTTATTAAGCTTATTTTGCAGTTAGCTGGCTGGGTTTTAGTCCTTGTAAATAAGATTACTTCGCTCGTTTTGTCTCAAAACCCACTTCGAGGCGTTGATCTAGTGATGTTCCGTTAAGAAAGTCAGATACCTCACGCCTAGGAATGAAATCAAACTTAATGCAGAACTCTTCTTGTGAAGAAAAAATAAATATTTTCCGAAAAATTGAAAAATAAAAAAATATACATCATTATTATATGTAACGCCTTGTACTTACCTTCATTATGAGGTCTTAGGCATCTCGGAAACAGACTATCGGCACCATTCACTCACCTTTAACGATACGGGGCTGGGGTAATCCCAAACGCTCAATGTCATAATCGTGAACGATGACTAATTATTTTAAAAGAGGGGTACATATGTAAAAATTCGTTTGTTTTTCAAGTTGTAGGAAAAGGAAAATCGCAAATTATTTTGTTGTGAGTGGAACTTAAGAACTTGGAACATTATCGAGCTAAGAAAGACTCATGGAAACTGAAACGGGTAAGCTGAAACGATTAAATTGTGATCATCTGACAAGCATGCTGGTTACTAACGGGCCAAAATTTCGTTGCCCATGGGTTAAATTTGTTCAGCAAGATAAAGATTAACTTTTGTGAGGCCAGATCCACTCCAGTGTACTGAGATATATTGTTATGAGCTTTGGCCGGGTACTCCAGAACACCCCGTTTCATGGCATTTTCTTTTGGTCTTTTGTAACTAACGTTTACGAGTAACATCATGTTACTGGTTTGTAGCGACACTGTACTTACATGAGGGTTGTACCCCTGTCCAATTACCAGAAGGTAAACACATCCTTGTTGCAGGACCAGTTAAGTGGTATTCTGGGTCACAAACGAAGGACACAGATTCACCAGTCCAGTACCGTGAGCCATGCCTACGTCCGTTAGAGAGAATACCCGGGTCACCACAGTTGACGAGGGCTTAGATGTGTATACAAAAAGTAACGACGATTAAAAAAAACAAAAACAAAAACAACAATAAAAACCAACAAAGACAAGGAGTGAGAGTGAAAGATTGGAAGAGAGAAATGAAGACTTGGAAATAGATGATTCTAAATCTCTTTCAGAAATGAAATAGACACATCCAAAATAGACAAAACAAAATACTTAAACGCAGGCTGTCACACCACGCAGTAGTTAACGATTCGTTTCCAGTTTAATGTTCGATATTAAAACCGTGCTGATGGAGGTGGTAGACAGGACCTTTCTAAGGCTTTTTGTAATTTTGGAATGTTTAAAAGTTTTTTTTCATAGCCCTTCTTCGGCTAGGAGTTTGGACAATAAGACGGTACAAACATTGAGTTAGGTAATTATAGCAAATTAAATTCAACATACTTAGATTTGTGTTGGACTCCACTGTCATATTCTTGTCGTTGTAAAATAGACATGAGTAGATCCCCGAGTCACTTGGCTTGAAGCGATGAACGACCATTTCACTCTTTACCAATCCATTCCCGTCATTTGCGGCTCTTGAGAAAACACGTCGACCATTTTTGAACCACGTGACTTTAGGTAAAGGCGAGCCACCGGCTGAACAGTTTAATTTTACAGTATCGCCAACATGCTGGACTTTGATTTCACTGGGGGGACTGGACACAATATAAGGACTCACTTAAGAGACAGAGAAACAAAGTAATCAGCCCAATTTTAGATTGGACTTATATGGACACTATTGTTTTACTCAAGGTTGTTTATCAGTTTGTTTGTTTTTCAACTCCATACTTACCAACAGCTTTAACAAAGACCCATATAACTCTCATAACATTTGCCATTTGGTTAGTTCCCTGGCAAACGTAAGCTCCATCATCGTCCTCCGTTGTGTTTTGAATTGTAAGTTGGGAACCGTTCATAAAATGTCTGTTGATTGAGAGCTGCTCGCCTGATCTTGTCCATGTTATCACAGGGGAGGGGTAACCGAAGATGTCACATTGAAGCACGGTGTCCCATGTCTTGTAAGCAGTTACGGAACGCTTAGGTTCGGTAGTAAATTTTGCTGGCACTACCAAAAGAATATTACAACATACATTGTAGATCAAGTTCAAACTTAGACAAAAAGCAAGGTAATACTTCTATTTATGGTACTAGGACATCCTAATAGTGTTCAGCAATATATAGATTTGCAACAGTGATCAAGTTTTGACGGGACTATCGATTGAAGTTTATAAGGCGATCTTCTATGCACAATTTAGGCCTACCCTGGGTGCAAAATGAACGATAAATTCAAATAGTTTTGTTGCAAGGCGCGCGTGACTGATTGCTTTGCAGAGAACATTAAGCTTGCGTTCTAACAGGAAAGTGCATCTTTTAACCAGCAAATAATGAGCAAATAAATAGGATCTGGACCTTTTAAAATGCAAAATGAACATTCTGGATAACTTCGAATAGTTACATTAGATCTTTAATGGAGGAAAAATATGAAAGTGAATGCCAAGTTTTGCGTAATATAGACAGCAGGAGACTTTAAATCTCTTAAACAGACCTTTCACGCTGACATTGACGGATAACTCTGCTCTGCCCATAAGATTTTCCGCTGTACAGGTGTAGATACCACGGTCCTGGAATTGAATTTTCTTTAATTTTAGACTCTTTTCTCCAAAGTACTTCTTCTCCTTTTCAATCAGGTGTCCATTTTTGTACCACGTGATCACAGGTTGTGGGAAGCCATTTGCTTTACAAGGTATTAGAACATTAAGTGTCTCTTTCACTGTTATGGTGGGGGAAGGCTTTGAAATGAAGTGTGGCAATTCTGAAAAAAAGGGGTCTATTATTATCGTCTTAAAAAGTAAAAAACCAGCGGAATGAAAAAGGCATTAAAGTTTCATCGAGTTAGGAAAAAATTTAGGAAATAATAACAACAACAAAAACAACCATTGATAGATATTCATTGCACGACTTACCTAACTGACCTCCACCGCTATGATTTGTTCTCCGTTGTGCTGATTTTCCAGGGGGCCCTGGTGGTCCTCTTATGCCACGTTTTCCCTGGGGACCTTGCACACCTTTTGGTCCCTTTCTTCCCCTTTTACCGCTCGATCCAGGAGGGCCCTGGCGACCAGTGCGGCCAGGTATACCGGGAGGACCTGGTGGGCCTTGAGGTCCTGCAAAACGAAATGAAAATTGATGAGTAAACTGATGTAAAAATGCAATAAATTTTGTATGAGAAAGTCGAAAAAAATTGCATCCAACTAAACAACAGAGAGGATACTTCTTTTGTGGTACGATTTTGCGGCTCATTACATTTCTATAATATTTAGTTTGGTACAGCAACGTACAGTTTAAGTTAATATATCACTGAAACTATTACTATTGAAACTAGCGATATCACTGGGTGGTATTGTGTGCGGAAGATTGACGTTACTTGATTTCGTGTTTCAGTGCAAGACACATTCTTTGGGTCCTATTCCTTAGCCATTTGAAGGAAACGAGAAAGAGTAGTTACCATGGTTATCGTAATGTTCTTATACGCAGTTTCATAAAGCACGACTTTTGTTTAGTGTTAGAAGCATACAACCTAGTGACATGCTTCTGTTGGTATTAATAATGGTTGAGATCTATTGAGTGTTTTGAAGAGTTTTTTTATGCCATTCCGGTGTATTTTTTTCTACTCTTTGAACTGCGTTACTCAGTATTGGTGGTCGAAAAACCTCTTACCCTCAACGCAAACAACATTTCCCTGACTTCTCTCCAAGGTCGAATTCTATGGATTGAAGAAAAAAAAAGGAGACAAATTAATTCAATCGATCGCTACCCGGAGACATTTAACCGATAGGCGTAGATTCTTAACAACGATTAACCCAGATAAGTTTTAAAAAACAGTTAACCCTGAAAGTAAACCTTAATGAAAAGAAATTAATTGTTAGTCCTAAGTGACCAAAACTTCAACCGTTAGCCGTAAGAGCCATACCCCATTGAGACCCTCCGATAAAACACTGTATCAGAAAAAAAATAGTATTGAATATAACAAATAATTATAAGTCAAACGAAAAAATAAAGGGAGGCAGTGAGGAATGAGACACTGAGGAAGTTACCGGGATTTGATGGACATTGGAGCGTCTTCCGTTGTCGATAAAACGAGTCATCAATTGTCATCAACATGTTTTTGTCTAATTTGTCAACTGTTAAAAATTTTGGATAACACGGCGATTAAGTATATTTTTACAGTATAGGCTCTCTTTAGAGGTTATTTTTTCTCTTAAATCCGGTCACAAAATTTGGTAGGTCGTTCAAAAGATTAATAAAAGGGTCTAATGGCATTTGTAAAAAAGAGAAGGATAAAAAAGTGAAACTTACTCCTCGCTGACCATTCAAATTCACGCAAACACTGCGACATTTGCTGCACATGGATGTTCGTTCAACAGCTCTTTGGACGCGAGCAGTTTCTTTCTCCAGTGATCCACTTGGACGAGAATGAGCAGATGTTGGCGCAACAGAAAAAGGATTGGAAATCGGGTACGGAGAGCTTTTAAGCAGTGAATTTCGCTCAAGTGTTGTCAAACGCGAATCTAATCGATGCAGGGAATAACAAGTGAAACCGAGTGAGCCTAGCGTCAGAAATAAGTTGACTGAAAGGCCAAACATAAGAACGTGCGAACTCTTATTTGCCTTGGACTCCATCCTCAGTCGGCGCCTTCCCTCAGCAACAGCCTGGATGATGGCTAACGCTGAATGGCAAACTGATAGATAAGCGAAGCGAAACCCAATAGAATAAAGAAACTATATTTATGTGACATGTATTATCAACTTTCGTACTCGTTTCAGTTTGAGCGTTTATTTCCGTTCGTATTATGTCGTGCAAATGGGCAAAATAAACAGATTGCATGTAAAATTTGACGTTATTGTCTGCTTAGATTTATGGCCTCCTAAAAGAGACGAAGGTCATTTTCGTCTTCCTTTAAACAAGTCAAGTGATTTTGTAGTCAAACAAGCAAATCGTTGTTTGACCACTTCACTCTGTTAACGCGTGATATGTTATGCACTCGAGTTTGCACTTGACTCTGTTAACGCGTGATATGTCACGCACTTGAGTTTGCAACCTCATGTACTACAATAAGAGGATGTGACCACTTCACTCTGTTAACGCGTGACATGTCATGCACTTGAGTTGGCAACCTCGTGTATTAGCATAAGAGGCTCTGTTAACGCGTGAGATGTCACGCACTTGAGTTTGCAACCTCGTGTACTAGCATAAAAGGATGTGTAAGAAGAACGGGTCCGCATGCGTACTTTGAAGGTTGATAACTTTGTGTGAATCTTGCGATGTTTTCGTGTACTCAAGAAACAAATTCTAGTGGTGTAAGAGGTTCCCCTTGGAACCTCTTTTTTTAAAACAGGAAAGTAACAGCAAAGTAATATGCAGAGAATGAAATAACGCTGAATAAAGGGAACCCTAAATTGATAGGTGCTATTTGTATTTCAACCTTCTTTACTTCGCACGTATAATTTTATTTGTAACTCTTTAACTTGACACTAAATTATATTTTCTCACGAAACATTGAAGAGGCCATCGACTACGATTTAGCTGTAACTATATTAGCGATTTAATAAACCATTTAGCTTTTACGACTGGACTTCGCGCGAAGTTTGTTGATTATTCAGAATTCCGGTCAACATCCGCTCTGCGGATAGCATCAGCTTTCAAAACATGATGCGCACACTATGATTAGCAGTTTTTCACACAAAAACCGAAAAAAAAAAAACTTCAAAGTTCTCCTTCTGTGTGTGAGGCTTGAAGAAATCTTGAGATTTTCACGAAATTGAAGAAATGACACTAAAGTAAGGTGACCCGTGTTATTAAATTTCCTACTTGTTTCAGTTTGAGTGTTTATTTCCGTTCTACCAAATCGTGCAAATGAGTAAGTTAGGCAGATTGTATGACGAAGTTTGTTGATATTGTGAAATATTTATGTACTCTTTAAAGAAAAGAGGGGTTAATTTCTTCAAACGTTAAGTGATGTTAGAGTAAAATAAGCAAATAAATGTGACTACTTCACGCATGTAGTGCGTGATATGTCACACACTCGAGTTTGCAATTTGGTGTACAAGCATAAAAGGATGTTATAAGGAGAACGAGTCAGCTTCCGTAACGTGAAGCACGAAAGCTTTGCATGACTTAAACTTTACGGTTTTCAATGTATTCGTGTTCTCGACAAACAAATTTTAGCGCCAAAAGATTGCTAAAATTTTTGCTAGGAACAACTCTTTTTCTCGAAAGGGAAACTAATAGCCAAGGTATCGTTAAGAAGCAAATAATGTGCAAAGAATGAAATAACATTGAGTAAAAGAAAACTTTACTTGTATTTCAATTTTATTTATCACGAACTTATAATTTAATTCTAAAGTTTTTAGAAGCGTAATTATTTACAGCCACATTATATTTCCTAGTTAAAACTCTTTACCAAGACACTAAATTATGTTTTCTCACTGAACATTGTTGAGGCCAGAGACTACGTTCAGCTGTAACTGCATTGACGATTTGTTAAAACATTTAGCATTTACGACTGAACTTTGCGCAAAGTTTACTGATTCTTCCCACTGCAATCAACTTCCCTTCAGCAAATTGCGTCAGCTTTGAAAACATGATACGCCAGATGGTACTCCACCAAAACACACTCTTCTGACGCGTTGTTGGAGGCTGTCAAAGTTGTTTACAATAAGCCAATAAACTAGCGAGAGGCATGTCATTATGACCACGACAAGATCACGCCTGCGACAAGATAATGAATCAAGAGCTAAAGAGAATACCCTTTTGATCACAAAACAAACCTGGTCGCTGGAACGTAGTATCCTTTTCCCACCACTTAGCCAATTAAATTTTATTAATGATATATATTAAGGAGTAATTTGTAAGAGGTAGAAGAAATTTGTGATGCTATTTACTCACGAATGAAATGAGAAGATATTGCTTGATAATGCCTGAATACTGATTGGCTTGGATGAAACATATAAAACGAATGGGAGAGCATAATCAGAAAGGTCACCCATGCTGTTGTAAAGAAGCCTCCACAAAATTTGAAAAAAAAATTCTGTACAGGTCTTGGAACCCTATCATAAATTAAAGACCTCTTCTTTCGCGTAGTTCTAAATAAATATAACGTCACTCATTCTACTGGTTTTCAACTCACGTAAACAGCTTTATATGATTGTTTGGTTTAATCAGCTGAGTTGATAATACAAACTGACCAGCGTCAAGAGTTTCTTACGCTGACGTTTCGATAAAACCAAATTACTTTGCTCTACTCTCCCATCGGCGCAGCACCACACTTTCTTTAGAAACTTACCCCCTCCCTTTAAACAGCTTTACACCCGGCGCTTATTCTTGTTCACACATAACCGAGTGGCAAACTTTTCCTAGAATGAAACATTCCAAGAAGTAAATTCAAGAAAGTAAATAATAACGTACGGGAGAAAGGCGTTACTATCTGTCATGAGAAACTACAAAAAATTGAATTCTTTGTTTGCATTAAAAAATCTCTAATTCTAAGCAACCACGCACTCATTCTCATGTGGAAGATGACTGACTCGCTTGGCGACAACTCGTGAAAAATATGTCATGGTTCCAAACCGTCCACTTGGAGCAGTGTCGTAGAAATATCGACAGATGCCTGATGCTCCACCACAACTGATTTTTTCATGAGGAAGACGAGCGCAACACATAGTGGAATCACCTTTGATGTTCATCTGAAATAACACAGAATGCCGGGAAAATGGATTTTAAGCACATAACTTTGGATGTAATAATGGTATAGATAAATTTAGTATTCCCACGCCAGCTCTTGCTCCGACCCTTTAACCAACAATAAATGTGATTTGGTCCCTAGGTCTTCGGCGCAGGCCGTTTTGTATAAGTCACCAATATTATTGGCTCCTTCTGACTCGTTGTGTGTTGGTTCTGCAACAATCACTCCAAAATAAGCTCCCATGCTTAATATATAAACGATGATTTTCCACTTATCTATCTTGGTGTTGGGCTTTTATTTTGAAACTCGATCAGTACCAATCCAGATTCAACTAAATTTATTTTGCAGTAAAACCACCTTTAGTTTCTCAACGAAAAACCCCACTCTCCAGGATCATAAGTGACTGTCACGAGTAATCTGTGTTTTCTACCGTAAAAAATGTTCGGGTTTTAGCATGCAGAAAAGTTACTACTCGCACTGCCTTCATGTAACTTCATCTCATCATCAGAAAAAAGACAAAAACAAAAAAAAAAAAACAGTCCTCAGTTTTGTAATTGTCATAAATATCTACCGAGGCTATTTTTGACGGTGAACGTAAGAATTTCCTAAACATTGCCTCAGTCTCCGCGACAATCAGGTCCTTAAAAAAATGGTCTTCCTAACCCCTTTTCTTAAACACGCATAGCAGTCAGGCTTATTTAATACTGTGAACGAAGAACACTTCGAAAAGAAAACGAAAAAGATTGTCCTTCACCCACCTGATCTTTAAGATACAAACTGTGGCCCTCGAAAACAAGTTCGTCAACGTCAATAGTGTCTCCAAGGGTCTGTTCTGGATGATATTCAACCACAAGAGACAGCACCATCAACATTTCCACCACAAGTTGGCGATATTCCGGCTCTGGAATGCGATTCAGGGCAGCTTCCACACACAACGCAAACTTCAATTCTCCTGGAGTCATCTGGAAACAGAAAAGCATTGTGTGACTGAAACTGTTAGGAGAAGACTAATGATGGTTACTGCGTTAAGAAATGCTGTGATCACAATAAGCTTGACATTGACCAGGAGCAGATTTGACATATTATCTTGCCATTTGTTTCGGCGAGGAAATTTTGGTTTGTCTGACTGATGTATAACATTATTATCAGATTTTCCTCGCAATCCAAAAGCTCTGGATACAGCATTACATTTTGCTTTGGAGGAAAGACAAACCAGAACAAAACTAATTATGTCAGAAAAGGCCGGGAAGAACTCTCAGTAACTTAACGTTATCGCCATTGGGGGCAAAAATATGCGAGTGGCCATGTCGCCATTGGATAATAATTGTATCCTAACTGATAGAGTAGAGTGCATAAGCCTGTTAAGCCAGTCAAAAATCGCAGTAAAGCTTAAAATTAAAGAAATAATACTAGAAAATGGGATTCAACCGAAGGCATACCTCTAAGACCATGGTGTTCGGTAGATAATGCTTGTAAATGGTCATACCTCGACACTAGAGGAATTAAAAAAAAGCAAAAAAATAACAACAGGTCGCTCAAATGGCTGAAAAACATCGCAAATATGAAAATGTTTTAAATTTGGAGTTTGAAATTTGCAAGTTATCATACCTTTTCGAGAACTTTCCAGAATTTGGGGTAAAAATCCTCAGGGGCTCGGTTAAGAGCTCCATCAAGGCACCTACGCCTGATCCACTGCCCAAGGCGGTCCTGAGGGTCCTCGTCCTCGTCATCTTTATCTTTCTGTGGTCCCAGCTTATCCTGATCAGGTGATGGTAGCAATCCTCTACCGCTCATATGCTTTAAATCCGAAAACAAATAAAATAGTTGTAAAATAAAAACAAATAGTTGTTATTAATGTTGTTATTGTGTTAGACTTTTTTCTAACAATTTCTCGCGCAGTGTTGGCAGGTCCAAAATAATACTTCAGTTAATCTAAGTTTTCGTTATATTTCGAACTGGTAATGAACGTACCACGTCATCGATGGAAAATAAAAGTTATCACCTTTCTATACAAATAAGAGACTGACAAATTTCATATGTGTTCAATCGTTATTCCCTCTCTTTACGCATTCTTTGGTTTTATCAACTGAGTTGCTAATATAAACTTAACGTTTCGAGAATTAGCCCTTCGTCATTCGCTCTGATGGAGGACTAACGTTCAACACGTCTGCTTTTGAGCCTTTTTATGGTGGCTAATTGGCATTATCAACTCAATTGATAAAACCGAATCATCTTATACCCTCCCCCCCCCTCCCTACAGACAGGGCACCACAGTTTCTTTCTAAAAATTTACCCCTTTACACATTACACACAGTAAGTAACTACAAAACCATGCAAAACAATGGCGCAAGACGGCGCGAGGTAACGTTGTTCAAAAGATAACAGCCATAAAACAGACCAGCCACGTAGGATTGACAAGAGATGAACGCTATTTAACATCTCAGTTAATTCAATTTAAGTTTATTTTATCTTATTGCATTAATATCCATTTTCCCCTTGGATAGCAAACACAGAATTAGAGCATTAATGCCTTTGCATCATAGCGTTAGCTTTAATGCAATTTCACTTCTGGTTGCAGTCAAGGTTTCTTAGAGAGAAAGTTACGACAGCTTGCAGAGAATTGCAATTTACGATTCAGTAGAAAAGGAGCCACGGAAATGATTGACAGTTTCCTGACTTAAAGAATTTCTCTCATCCATCCTGCTGTGGGAGGAAAAAGCGCTTAACTGAGGAACTCAAACTATCGAAAAAAGCTTGGTTTGGAATGCAATGAGTTTCACACATGAAAAAAGTAAATGAATAACCGTAAATAAACAAAACGTAAAAAAACAACCACAAAAAAAGATCAAAGAACCAAAAAGAACTAACTGGATGTTCATCAACGTCGACTCCATCATAAACTTCCTCACTTTCTTGCAATTAGTCCTCGCAGCTCACACGAGAGTTTAACTACATTTCTACTCTAAGCTGGAAATCAAATATTTCACTTGCTCTCCATAAGCCTTTTTAAAATTTCTGTTAGTCATTACAGTGCAAGATGAGAAGAAGTTATTTGTTAGCAGTATTGTTGATGTTAATCAGGCTTCCTTTACAGCGAAGAACTCGTGAGTAAAGCAGAAAGCTGAGACAAAAAAATTCATTTCTGAATCGATGTCATTTCCCTTCACCCTTATAACATTAGAAGAACTGAAATCATTTGTTAACATACCATATGTTTCCCCGCAAACATTTTAATACAGCTTATTTTCTGTTGATAAATATGAAAACTTGCTGTTAAGCCTTACAGTTGTGCAGAAAGATGGTGCAACCAGGAAACTTCCAAGACGAGCTTTGATAAAAACACCCTTTGCTTATCGACAATAAACCAAAAGCCAAACAATTTTGCCTGGCGTAACCTGGATTAAGATTTTTCAGCACGAAAAAAAAAAGGAACACAAAATAGAACAAACAAACAAAAAGAAATAGAAAACAAACAACCAATGCAGACAAAACAAACAAAACGAAACTTAACAAACCAAAGCAAAAAGGGAAAAATTTAAATAATACCTTATAGACGCGACTCTTTCACTTTCGCATCACTCATTATCGCACCGCCTAAGGTATAGGTTGGAGCTAGCCAACATGAACGCATTGTGCAAAGAAAATCTAATGTGCGCGCCATTTATCCTGTTTGAAAAGCAACCCCTGTTCTTGCAAAGATGAATGTGATAATTCCCACCTCAATATTTACAGCAGCGAAGAGCGCCCGATTAAAACTATTCTTTCCGTGGTCCTATTTTTGAAGAAGGTATTGCCGACCGAAAGTGCATCCAATTTATTAAAGAAAACTGGACAGTAACCATACCTGGATAAGAGATAGTTTTGCCGGAGATTTTTTCCAGCGACAATAACAAGGAAATATTTTTTTCCGGGTTTGGTGGTGATCCACTGATAACAAGATATCCTAACCAGTTCTGCTAGTTTTATTAACTTGCAGAACTGGTTATCTCTCAGCTGACCGGTTATCAATTGGTAGAGACTAACATTGCAGTTAAAGGGTATACTCTTTAAAGAGCACCGAATTCCTTCCACAAATCCGTTCACGAATGAAGAAATGTAAAGTGGTTTCCGTGTTTACATAGCCTGATGTAAACACGCGGGAAGTTGGGAGAACACGAGATAAGCGTAGGAAACCACGACGCGAGGCAGAGTGGTTTCCAGCTTATCGAGTGTTCTCCCAACCTCCCAAGTGTTTACATCAGGCTATGTAAACACGGAAACCATTTTACATTTCTTTTATAAAATAACTAATGAAAGAGGAACGAAAACCGTGTTTACATATGCTCATGTAAAATGGTTTTATGGCCAATCAGAGCGCGCGTACCATTTGAATTATTTTAAAATGTAATTTTCACCACAATTGGCAGTAATGTCACAATCTCATTGGCCAATTTGCCGTTGTCGAATACAGACAACACTGACCACTGTGAGGATGAATATCTTTGTCGATAAGAGTACTGACCGCGCTAAACCACTGTCGATTTGTCAAGTAGCTAAAGGGAAGAATAGAGTAAGATATTACAAGGTCAAAATGATTAATAAATTCTCTCACTTTCTAAATGAAGACTGACCTTAATAGCACTAGAAAGTTTTCGGATCCCAACCCTCTTCGGAAGGTCGACGTTTACGATGGAGATCTGTTTCTCTGGTGTGCTCTTGTTGTCATAGGACAAATCTACAAAATAATTAAAATAATAAAAAAAGAAATAAAAAAGAAACAAGGAAAAAAACACACATATAAGATTATTAGACAAAAAGGAAAGAGGTGTACACTGTATTAGTATTTTATCGCTATTCGAAATTGGTTAATATTTGATTACAAAATCAGCAGTTATTTCAAGCTAATTCATTTTTTCTGTTTCCTCAGAAATAATTCTCTGAGCATTCTTCTAGAGTTTTCATGATTCCAGGACTAAAAATTTAATCGAGATTGTAAAATCCCACGACTACTCAGGTTTTCCATGATCCACACAAACCCTGAGGCTAAAACAAGAAATTAAACTTACCACTTGAAACGACCAACTCCTTTCCGCTAAGAATGTGATACAGGAGAGTTTTCATCTCAAAAGGGCTCAAGTTCATGAAAAACTCAGCGGCATCTTCACCTGGAAGGCGCGTATAGCTGCATGTTAGAACGCGACATGTTATGTTCAGAGTGACTAGTTGTCGTTGTTTGGTTGTTGCTGTGTTTTTTGTTTTTTGTTTTTTCTTTCAGTTTTACTGTCGTAACGTCTGTCGGTTGTTACCGATCAAACGCAAAACTGTTGAAGCCTTGTAAAACAATTGTAGATTAGCCTGCGAGGAGTTGTGAAAATGTAAGGCACAAACTTTCGCAAAACGGGCAGCTACGCAGGTTGAAAAAAAAAATTGGAAAAGTTGTGCTTCGAGTGAACAGACGAAAAAAAAAACCAGGAAAGTACCTTGTTGGCGTTAAATCAAGTTCTCGATAACGCGTGGCAAAGGTTAGACACACAAATAGACTCAATTTCGCACGAGGTGTCATTTGTCGTAAACGGAAGTTCGCCCGAACATCAAGAAGTTCAGCTGCACTGGGGGAGAACCGTCCGTAGTTCGAAAAAATGAAGATATAAATACACAAACAGAGAAAAACTATTTTAGTTTCTGACCGGAACAATCCATGGATCTCGCCAACTCAGCCACCATAACTTCTATTATCAGGCCGACTCGAAGCCTCAGCATCTCTTTGAATAGAGACGGTTCAGTCCTTACAAAGATCCCAAGATAAACTAACAGTTCCTGGTGATAAAGAAGAATATTACTGGTTCGACCAAAACTGAACAAGGACGATTTTACATGGGATGAAGAACAAAACAAAGCTGAAGTGACTACCCAAACGGAATAAAAAATTGTCGAGGGGGAGAAAATACTGAACCGACGGTTTACAAACGGTAAAGATTAAAAAATCCTACTCTCTATGCTATTATTATCGTAATCATAACCATCACAATTCTCTCAAATGTATTGGTACATCAGCTGCTTTATATTTCACAAATCACCCTGTACAGATGTAATCAGACAGTTGGCTGTAATCGGAAACCTGTAATCGGACAGTTGAAGCAGCCAATCATACTAAGTTCACTCAGCTGAATCCACCAATCACAGAATCGATCACAATAACCATAGCAACAACCTGAAAAGTAAACTGAGAAATTTCCAAATTTTTTGGTTTAGACATTGTCTCTACTGGAGATGTTTCTCCTCAATGCTTTTTTTTTTTTTCAAAAATTGTAATGGTTATGATTAATTGGTAACAGGACTTCTTGTCGTCCAATTCGGTCTGTAATCACACTTGTGATTGACAAATCGGACTCCCGCTTCGCGGTCGTCTGATTTTGTAAATCACTCGTATGATTACAGACCGAATTGGACTCCACTCGGTCCTATTAGTATTATTCATTATTACTATCACTAATGCTAAAATTAGCCGTATTTTAATACTTTCATCATTACTTTTTCTAGTACTTCTGCTGTTACTGGTTTGCGTACAAATTTTAGGAATTTTACCTGAGTGACAACACCAGTGCTCATATCTTCACCAAAAACGTTGAAAATTATATTTTTCATGTCCTCTTGCGGAAGGGGTCTGCCACGAAAAAAAAATTGAATATAACAGTGTAGTAAAAACCTTATCAATATAGTGACAGAGAAGACACCACCGAAGAAAGGTTCTTTCTTTACAAGTCAATTCACAAAAGCACATTTTGAAGTCGAGTTTGTTTTTATTCTTGTTTTGTTCTTTTTTGCATCAAACGGTTTGAAAACTAATGAAACAAACGCACTACGACAACATCGTCGAGATTCACCTTGTTATGACCTCTTCGTGTCCACCCTGAGGGATCCCCACAGTCAGCTGCTTCTGGTGCACTAAAAGATCTGTGGCAGCCTGGTGAAGAGAAGAGGAAAACATCATCACAACTTTATACTTTACAACAAAAGGGCTGAAATCGATATATAGGCGATTAACTCAGACCAATGAAGTACGGCCATGCATTAAAAGAGCGAAAAGATCGAAGAGGCGGGTGCAACAAGATTGGGAGAGGTCTGGGAATGATAGGCATATGAATGATAACCCCTTCTCGAATCCAAAGTTGGGTCACAATGTCTTATGTCACAGTATAGCTTGGCTGTTTGAATATTTTTAGAATAAACAGCAACAACAAAAAAAGATGAACGGCAAACAATAACAACAGCAACAACGAACACAAAATTTGAGCTTATCGTGAAAACGGAGGTTATTAAAGATAAACAATATACCTCGGCTAGATCCTCCACTCGTTTTCTCAACAGCCCAGCGGTGTGACGCACTAAGGACCATAGCTTACTTTGACAAGCCTTGAAATCAAACGCAACAAAATGACAGTTAAAACTTTCAACTGGTAATGTGGATAAAAAAGCATAACAGGAAAATGTTGGGTAAATGTGTAAGACTGTTTCTTGAGGATACAGTATCAGTTTTCTTTGACTTAATCTTTGACGCAAGTCCGTGTTTGAAACATTTAACGGCTAACTCCGTAACTTAAATAGTACTTCTAAGATGAATTAGTTTACCTTTTCGTAAAGCTCTCCGAGGAGTTTTTGGACTGTAACTCCTGGTTCACCAAAAAGTTGAGTATCAAAGTCTGGACCCCTAGTGAAACAAAGTAAATAGAGCCACACTGTTCTGTGAATTATTTCCACGGTTCACAGAGAAGCAATAATAATCCTAAGGCGAACGCACGTTTAACATCTTGTGAAAAAAAAAAAGCCAAACAACAAATAAAACTCACAAACATGCGAAAAAACATAAACAAACAGCAGGAATACTATCAAGGAACAAAGTAGTTCGAACCAGTTCTTCGACGCATACTATCACAAAAGACTTCTAACACCTACAAAACGTATTTACTTTGAAGTTAACGATAAAATTAATCTCCCTCCAAAACAGAAGATAAAAGTTAAAAAAACTTAACACTTCTCTGGTTGGAAAACCTATACCAGCCCCAGTTACGTATCTCATATTCCAATATCATTCATAATATTACATGTACTCTACTGTATATACCTAGTTTGTAAAGGTAGTAAGTTGGGTTAGGATTAGAGGAAATGTTATTGGGGTTGGTTGGCGGCAGACCTAGTAGGGGGACCCCAAGTCCTATTGTTTATTCGCCTAGTAGCTTGTACCTTGTACTGCTCCTAATAATAAAAGAAACAAATGAATAAAGCGAGCAGCCCTTGATTTGTTATATTGGTATTTTGTGTTGGATGAAAAGTTCTTGTTGTGTTAGTTGGAGAAATTCTATTCTCTAAGATTAGGTACTTCGAGAAAATTTAACATACACAGGACTCTGTACCTTGTATTATACAAGAAATGTAGTATGTCAGCTTGGGCATCAATTGTCTCTGCTTCTTTGAGTTGCAACAGTAATTCTTCCAACTCCACGTCAGTGGACATGGCACGTGACCTGGCTGGTGTCCAACCATTAGCTGCGCGATCTTCAAATGCTTCACATCCGGGAACTTGATTTGAGAAAGGCAGAGAAAATGGCATAAATAATATCAAGGATATCTTAAACATGTAGAAGATAACCAACAGATTTAGAGGCAGTTTTCGTACGCAATTCACTTTTTCATCATTATTTGCAAATCTTCGCTATTATATTTTTTTCTTTCAGGAAAGCGTGAATGGCTTGCGTCATTCACTACGTGCAAGTTACTGTGGTTATCAAGTACATCATTACCCATTCCGACATCGGCTTTCATCGTTCATGGTTAATGCTTCTAAATGTCAACCTCTCTGCAATCACCAGAGTAAACACAAAGTTTTCTTGACTCGTTTGACGAAGTAAAACTGAAAATATTGGTGCAGCTTTCCAAAAAACCTTGAAACTCGACAGCTTTAATGCACTTTGAGTAAAGCTGACAGAGGAAGATTTCAACCGCAGTATACGGTTATCTGTTAAATGCATATTAAAGCCTTATCAGCATTTTATATATATGCAATTCAAGTTAACAATTATTTTCCTTCATAGCATGCTCTTATTTCTTGAAATGAGCGCGTAAATATCTAATAACTGAATTGTATTCTGTTATCTTTAAGATGTTATTGCATGTTGCTAAAAAAGGTATCATACCGTTAACTATTTCATGCACATCAGGGCGTGAAATCAACTTTTTTTCTGATAGCCACTTGGCTCCTAAATTCTTCAAAGTGGTAGCCAATTCAAAAAAAGTTGGTCGCCATTTTCAAAGACAAACAAAATCTTTCTTTACGCTGTCAGCGTTCTAGATAGACCCTCCAAAATTAAGTTAGGGAAAAGATCTTTAACGTGCTACAAAGTGGACACTAGGATGTATGATATACAACGTTCAGGCTTATCTAAATCCAAGATGGCGTCTAGTTATCGATCGAGATGCATGTGCTACGTTTTGGAAACAAACTTAACGAGGAAGTTTGCCGCGGATTTATCTTTGCAAATTTATTTAATTCACTATATCTCTTAGTAAGGTTATGATGAAACGTTGAAGTCGCCAATTTGGCGACTAACTTTCAGGATTTAGTCGCCAAAGTGAAAAATTTAGTCGCATTGGCGCCTGTATTAGGCGCAATTTCACGCCCTGCACATACGCACTTTCAAAGTGTTAGGTTTGTCACTTCTTCAGTTGTTGCTAAGTTAATTTTTAAGGTGAAATTTATCACTATATTATCCTTTCATTTTAAATTAAAAGAAGATGAACTTCACTCAGGAACAGATTATAGGGTAATAATTAGGTCACTATAAACATAATTGTTGAGAATGTTAGGAAGAAAAAAGCTCTGGTGGCCACTTTTCTCTGTACCAGAGAGCTATGGTTAAATGGACGTAAACTCTACAGGGAGGTCAGTACAAGCCAAGTTACTTGCCAGTTAGAAGAGCTTTTCCTACAAGCTACATCAAAGAGGTAATGTGCAACTGCTCATTGTGTGATATAACACTACACGTTTTTTTCTTTAGCTTGAATGCTTAAATTATTTTTTCACTAGTCTATCGCCGGTGGAGCTATGTAACGACTGTGACGATATTCTTTTACTGAAATAAGAAAATTTACCTCTAATGGTGGTTGCAAAAAGTGTGAGCTTAAAAAACGATAAAAGCCTTTGAACTTGCTTCTCTATTCAGAGTCCCTCATGACTCCTTACCGTGCAAAAATAAATAACAAGTTCTATTCACAACACTGACAACAGAGGATCAAACACAAAGATTGCTACACAAAACGTAGTAAAACAAACAAACAAACAGACAGACAAACAAAGTAACAAACTAAACAAAATAATATAAAAGGAGGAAAACTGAAACAGGAAACGTATAGCCCTCTTAGTACCTGAATCGGTACCCCAGGTAGGTAATGATGGGCCACTGTCCTCATCAGTGTCAGGTGAAGGCGACTGAGGTGACTTCCAAGTCGCTGAAACTCACGTGACAAGTGCATGTTAGTGGAGTGCGTGACACATGACGGAAAGATTGATCAAAGGACGACCACGTGAAAGAGGTTTCCTAAAGTATGCCGGGAGTGTACAGTACTATGTTGGTGGATGATAAGGCAGATTGAAACTTAAGATGAAGATTAATTAATCGGATTCCATTCTAAGACATTCTTTTCACGTCAAAATATAGCGGGGTTGGTAACTTCTAACACAAAATTTTCATTACTTAACTTGACGTACCCCGGACTTTCTGGTGTTTCCACCAACCAACGGCAAAAGACTGCCTCAAAATAAAGAGCAAATGAATATTCGACCACATTAAGCCTGGTTGTTCCAGTCATTTCCGCAGACATGCTTTTAGCTATACCTTTTTTTCCTTGCGATTACTTTTTCCGTTATTTTTCTAATTTAAAGAAGAAAGTATAGGCCACTTTGCTCGTTCTAGAGCAAGAGACCATCGTAGCTGTTTACTTCGTACATTGTTATGAAAAAAAAACCAGACAAAGAAGCTTGACAAAAAATTGGCCACGTTCTCGGAATTTGCGCTTGCTTATTCGCCTAAACGCACAATGTTATTTGCAGTGTAATACTATGGAGTCACTTTAAGTCGCAGGAATATTATCTGATAAACATACATGCACTCACGTAAGTTAAGTAAAATTTAACTCAACAGAAAAGTAAACGATAACACCGTGAACAAAGTCACAGACATTGCTGCATCGCTTACGCGTTTAAAGTGTTAGATTTATTGTAAAGTTACCCGACGTCTGAGTTGTATGCGTTCATAATTTAACATAAATGCGTTGCTCAAAGCCACGTACAAGACTAACAGCACAAAGAAGTTAATGTTTACACCAGAAGTAGACTCACAGATGTTGCTTCTAATGGCTATCTACTTAAATAATCAGCTAGTTATATAAAAATTAGGTGACGCACTAAAAAATAGTGCGCAAAATATTTTGAACAATGGAAGGAGTATTTCTTCATAGGAAACAAATCTGACCAAGGCTAAGCATGAGAACATTAGAGGGCTTTTTGTTCCATTGTCATGAAAATAAACTCTAGCGTAATTATTACGGCCAATCGAAAAAAAAAGAAAATTTCCTGAGCCAAATTAATTCCGCGTGCCCACATTTTGCCGGCTCTGGCGCGGTATAACACGAGTTGACCAAAATACGACTGGTTTTGGATTGGCATCAGAGTGGTTGGTTGAGACGATAGCGTAAGGATTCTAAATCAATCACAGAGCTACGCGAAACGAATCTAGTGCAGTGCCAGATTACGTTCATCGCTCAATTGGGAATTGCAGACGTTTCGTAAAGTCGTGAAATATAATACAAAACAATCATTAAGAGTAACTTACGAGATGTACCACCAGATGGCTCGTAGTACACTGAGATGCTTCTACTTCTTTTAACCAAACCCTTGTAACTCGACTTTCTTCTTACCGCGCTATGACCAGCAGTGCTATAAGCTCGATTCTGTAACAACAATAGCAAGACAAGGTTGATTAAAAATTCCATCTAAAAAAATTTCATTTTGGGGAGGAATGTGCAAATTTACCCCTTTTCTCTGCAAAAGGAAGGTTTTATTGCCTCCCCACCCCCTTGGACGGGATGCTTCCCGTTACCTTTTCAAGCTTCTCCAGCATTTCGTCGGGCTTCACTGATGGTTTGTTCTGGTTGGAGGTAGGCACTGTGAAAATTAAGCGTCTTGCCCAAGAACATAACAATGACCGAGTCAGAATTCAAATCCCGACCATTCGATCCGAGGCCTTCCGCGTGAATTGACACAGTTCTTAATCTTTTCTATCCTCCCCAATCATTGGGGCATATTTTTACCTACTAAGTGTGTGTCTAACCCAAGAGTATACGTCAGTGTTTCTCTGCATAAAAAAAATTCCTACCATGCAGAAAACAGTTCAATGTACCAAGCACTAAAACTTACTCTTCCCGATGTGATTGATTCAGAATCAGTTCGCAGCAGCAGGTCACTGGGTACCCGTAACCTTCTATGTCTCCTAAAAACTGCAGGAGCAAAGAATCCACTCGTTTAAACGACGGAACTATTATCACAGACAAATAAATACCTCATATGAACCCCTCATACCCTAACATCAGTACGCATTCATCTCCATACTGTTGTCCGTTAAATTTCTTAAGGTGCTGACAAGGAGAATATGTTTAACAATCAAGAACTACTTGGTAATCAGTTCCTTCATTCTGGTGACCTAAATTTGTGATTTGGGGCTGAAGAAATTTAATGCTAGGTACAGGGGTCAAAGGATTTCAGAACAAAGTAAGTAATACTAAGGCAATAAAGAATGCTGTGTAATGAGAGTATCCAAGCCTATGATCTATCTAATATTTTTGCCCTTGTACGATGGTCTAACGCAGCACGTGAACGAATATCCCCCAGCGAAAACAGGATGATATCCGAGAGTATCACCTAATCGATATTCCCCAATTTTCAAACTTTACGTCCACTATGATGAGTCTTCGTTTCAAATTTAATTCAAGATGAGTGAGGGTTTTGTGGTTGTTACAGAAGAAGGGAAATATTTTTTTGTTCATTAAGTCGTACCAGAAAACAGCCAGGAGAAATCATTCCACGCTGAACACAGACCGCTGTTCGTAAACATTTTTTTCACGCGTATTGCAAAATATTTGACGTATAATAAACAACAACAGTCTCAATTTTACGAAAAATATCAGTTCCTCGAAGCCCACAGTTTTCTGAGAGCGAAGCTCGAGAAAAACTGTGAGCGTCTTGAAGTAGCAGCTTGCAGAGCATCTTGAAACATACAACCGTGTTTACTCGTTCGCATCTTGGAACACATGTTTTCCACGGATAAACATCCGTACATACTTTCGCGCAAAATAGAGGCTATTGTGTTTATTATGCTTGAATTAATTCGCAATGCGCGAGAAAAAATGTTGACGAACAGTTGACTGTATGCAGCGTGTGATGTTTTAATTTGAGTGCTTTCTGGTACGACTTAAAAAATTCCTTGTATGCAAAGTATAACTTGAAATACAAAGTAAACTTCAAACCCACTTCAACCCACTCACCCTCTTCAGTGTCCTCAATAAAATGCAGACCTGTAATACAGGACGTACTCAAAAATTCTGACAGATACCCAAGACGAACCCTGTCCAAAACATAAATTACATCAGAGTAATTTTTTACTAATAGTTGAAAGTACTACAGGATTGCATTAATTTTGGGTTACAGTTCACCACACTGTAAGATTGACCGCGCTCCGATCTCTCAACCAATCAGTTGTAGATGATACTGTTTGTCACCGTGCCTCTCCTTTCCCGCACTTACGGTTTGTTTACGCCTACCAACTTTGAATTCCTAGTATGAGCTCTTGAGCTTAAACCCCTATTCTGACTGGCCTTAATTGAACTTCGTAATGAGCTTTGCTCACCATGGAGTCTCTGTGGCTCAGTGGTAGAGCATCGGAGCGCAGAATCAGAAGGTCAGTGGTTCGATTCCTCATGGAAACTCAATATTTTCTTTGTCCCACGCTCGTGACAAGACGAAAAAACATCTTTCACTAATTTCTTTACCGAGCTCAAAACTTACAATCTTTCTCATTAAATAGCAATAATAATAATAATAATAAAATAATAATAATAATAATAATAATAACAATAATAAAACATTCCGTGATCCTACCTGACTCCAGATATATAGCCACTCCTCAGCATCATAATCATCTTGGAAATGGATGAATTTAGGGAGTCCTCTGAAAATCAAAACATAATCACATTTAGGAACTTGTTGGACGAAGAAAATGAATTTGAAAATTCTTTTGGAATACCTACACACGCGTTTTGAACTACCCTTGTATGTGTGATGATATTTACTGTTATCTCAAAAGCGTTCGGAGAAAAAAAAAACGAAAATGCTTAGTAAAAACGAAGTTCGTTATTTATGTGCAGATGTACCTTGTAGGGAGACTGCGATTTACTGTCTTTAAGCGGGAGAATTTAGAGAGTCATTCTCACGCTATTTATAAGGGTTATCAAAATACGTTACTTGTTATAAGTGGACATCATGGTGATTAAGACATGACTAAAGATTAAAGCTTTTCACTGCCAGAAATGACATACCACTATAGCAGTAGAATTGTCCGATCAAATAGACTGTTCAAAATTTGATGGGTCAATCATATTTCCGTTTGGCTCACGCTAGCACTATAGGTCAAATTGTCCAGAGAAGTTGCTATTTTGCCACTTCTCGATAAAATTGTGGCTTCAAGATTTATGGTCGTCACCAACAAAGATACTGTTCTAGTTGAAGAGAACGAGACCAGAAAAAGAAATGAAACCGTCCCAAATTTTCCGTCATTCAAGACCTCCTCATGGTAAAGGAATTTGCTCTGAGTAAAAACGAATTTACGCGATAGCTATTTTGTACTATGTGTGCTAGGAGTAGCCGTGTCGACATACCCAACATTGAGTGAGTGATGGTCATTGTGAGAATCGGTCTTCCAAGTCTTCTCCAATTAGCTCCGAGGAAACCCACAAGTGACTTGATCCGATCAGCAAGGAACTCATTATCAAGAGCTAAGTAAAACTGGTGATAGTCGAGTATCTAAAACAGCAACAAAAAAGAATGCTAAATATTAACGTCAGGTACGTTGCTTAATTAAAAGGTTTATGGAGGTTTAGCCCCATCGCGAGTTCGCCCCCAACAACCTTTGCGAGTTCGCTCCCTCAGGGAAGTAAAACAAGTTCGCTCCCAGACGTTTCCCCTCCTTTCCCTTTGGAAAAGCATATTTCTTTTACGTCAAAATAATGATACATTTCAATCAACAAGAAACTTCAGCGAAACCATAACATAGTTCGATCAACATGCAAATTCTTAGGCCAATTAACCGACGCACGATTTCTGCACATGTGCTCAGATTGGTCAAAAACCTATCATACCATAGCAGAAGAAAAGTAAATTTGGCGACTCATTTTTTTTTTTTATTTCTCCTGTTGGTCACACCGTTTGAGGTCTCCGATAGACACCAATAACGTGTGATTTAAATTGACGAAGTTTCTTAAACTCACTTGGGGTGTAAAAGCCAAAATGGAGTTTCCGACATTGTACAACATGCTAGTTCCTAAGACTCCGATGTTATAGTTTGGCCTGAAAGAAAGAAAATGGGCGAAAAAAAATGAAATCGATCGATGTGCAAAGCAAATGCAATAAATGTTGAAAAGTGAATAACCAAACAATAATAACCGGGACTTCTAAAGTGATAGAGAGAAGATGATGAACGAATCAACTTAGCTCCATCCTATCAAACAACGACAACACAACCACCACCAATAAAGGAAACAACGACGGGTGTTCTGTTATTGCGACTTACCTGCCTGTCAGATCTAACTTGAGATTTTTCCCTGCGAAAAGGAAGTCATAGTTAAAATTTAACGACACTTCACAGTTGGCAGAAAAACTCTCCAGTTAACATTTACGGTAATGACATAATTGAAGAACACCGAGTTAAAAGATAAAAGATACAACGGACACGAGAGCACCCCCTAACTTAAAAGCAGCATCCTTTCAACACTGTGCATTTGTTTGCAATGTGGT